ATCTGAGAAAGTGGTTGTGTATAGCTTAATATGTTTGACGTCATCCATGTCATTTAATACAGTTCTTTGTTTGTGATTCTGTAGTGCCTGTTCACTAGGTTCGAAGAAGGATGGTCCTCGCTAAGACGTACAGACTTTATTCGTTTGTAGCCACTTTAACCATCGATCTGAGAAAGTGGTTGTATAGAGCTAAATAAGTTTGACGTCATCCATATCATTTCGTACAGATCTTTGTTTGTGATTCTGTAGTGTCAGTTCACAAGGTTCAAAGAAGGATGGTCCTCGCTAAGACCTACAGGCTTCATTCGCTCGAAGCCACCTTAACCATCGATCTGAGAAAGTGATTGTGTACAACTGAACATATTTGGTGTCATCCATGACATCCATGTAAAACTCTCGATCTGAGTTTATTTCAGAACGTGACTGCAGTTTTTTAGGTTGATATTTTGGTTTTGTAGTAACTCGCGGTGTTGGGCGAAACTATTCCTAGCGTAGCGTATTCTATATTCAATTTCCTTCTCTCCTGTACTAAATTTGTTATAATGTGCGTTGTGGTGAAATGGATATTGGCTCGGAATGAGAACTCGGAGAGCCGAGTTCGAATTTCAGTCGATTTCGTTACATTCACACTCGTTAAAGGTATGAACCCCTCTATTCTCTTTCCCGCTATGAGTTGAATTGCAGTGTTTTCTATAGTCATAGTTGGCAACCAGTCTACCGTGGCAAGAAATGGTAACCTACTGCGGGAAAATCTTCTGCCTAGTCAGTCATGTATCACGACTGATATCATGTATTAACTGACTGATCCACACACCGAAGTATTAAAGGCGTTTAGCATTTATTAATTCCAGCAGTAAGGTCTTTGATTAGGAGGTTTTGAGGAGTGTGGAACCAGCTCTTAATTGCTAGTGTTCCCTGGTCCACCCTGACCTAAGTTAGTAGCACCTGTTAGCGTCTCAGCTATGGACAAATAGTTAACCCCACAAACTGCGATCAAAGCACTATGAAAGTGTAAAAATAGATTTTAATACCATCAATACATTTTTAAAAAATATTACCAGCAATAATCTTGTCGGCATTAAATAACCCATTGAGGTTGATATACCGTAAAACATAACAAACCAACCCAGACTAATTCCACATCGTAATTTTTTATATTGGAATTAGGGTATGAGCCATCGCTGTTTTCATTTCAATTCTAGATCAAAGTTTTTTTGTTTTAGAAAGGTTTATCTTGAGTCCTATTTCTTGTAATACTTGGTAGAGGATCGGTCTATATTTCTAGGATAAGTTATTGTAACTATTTACACTATTTACACTGTTCGGTCTGTTTACACTTTTTACATTGTATAGAACTATTCCCGACGTTTCAACTGTTGTACGCTTCGACCTTCTTCAGGTGATATACGTTGGAATTTCAAACCGAACCCTTTATCTAGTCCACTGGGATATATTGTTCTAGTTCCACATGCCATACCTTTTCTGGATATGTCGGTTTCAGTTACTTCCCTTTAGTAACTTAACTCTCCAAGTTTTTGTTTACTTCTGCTGTGTCCAGGTAACATTTTATTTACGATAACAATATTTTTTCCAGATAGAAGTCCGACTATTTAATCCATAGCATGGGAGAGATGATTCATAAGGGCATTTGCACATAAGTAAATGTAATTTAAACGAATGGATTTCGAACACGGATCTCCGATTTCTCATTATGAGACTCTATCCATTACACTATCCGCACATCCACAAATTTGAATAGAAGAAGCAGATAGATTCGCACAGAGGACTTGGGAATGAGAAAAAAATTCCTCAAAGATGATGCCTTAAATTTTGACAATTTAATCTTTGGAATGGCCCTGTGAAAGCAAAGTTTACTTACCTGGTCAGTATTGGTTGCTTCAGAGTGCTTCTCTTGCTAATTCAGAGATGATAGTGACCAGGTAAGTCAACTTTGTTTTCACGAGGCCATTCCAGGAATTAAATTGTCGCACTTCGTACTTTAAATACCCGCTAATAATAATGCTGACTTTAGCAGGCTTCTTGATTATCGAACTTGTCTCACAGGCTAGATTGCTAGCAGAATTAGTTTGATGCCCACTGAACTGTCTGTTGTGATATTGTGTCAGAATAAACTCAGCTGAATAAATAACTTTGGGGATGAAACAAAAATGTACTTCCCACTGTTAAGAGAAGTCACTAGCATCAAGCATTGCTACCATCTCTGGACTAGAGTTGCCCAATTCAGAGTTTCCTGCCTTGACAGAGTTTAAAGTCATTTACACGGCCTTGTGGTCGCGGAAGGGATGACCAATTTCTCACTATACAAACTCTTTCCCAACAGACTCAGTGTCGAAAGCCAATCGCCGGTCTATCGCTATCTCCATGGAAAATGTTCGGACGAGATCCATTCTTTAGGCTTATGGCCATATCACGTTGAGACACCGGTTCTCGTATGATCACCCGAGGTAAGCAACATCGAGCCTGATCAGTACCTATATGGGTGACCGCTCGAAAATACCGGGTGCTGTAAGCTGTCCGGGTTGTGTAATGGATAGCGCCTCGGAATTGAAAGTCGGAGAGCCAAGTTCCAATTCTGGTCGGGTTCGTTATATTTACTTACGCGCAAAGGCTCTCGGGAAAAGTACGAGTCCACCTCTTATCTCCCCCAGCTATGGGTTAATTGGTAAGACTTGTAACAGTAAATCATTATTATCTTCCAAAAACTCTTACAACCTAAAATTATTTTTCTGGCTTTAAATAACATAGAAAAGGTTGATAGACTATAAAAAAAAATCGACCAATCAAAATCCATTCTTTAGTTTCACCAGTTAAGACATTCTCTATGCTACGTCCACAGTTGTAAGGAGGGAGTTTCAATTAGACAGTTTTCCCTAAGAACTGTTGATTTGTGAAACAGACGCTTGCATGGTTGCTTTCCTGAATGCTACAATTTTAATATCTTCAAGTCAATGGCTAATCGATGCTTATCCTCTATATCCTCATAATCTTCACTTCCTACCCTTACATTTATATCACACGTCACATTCAGTAATCCTCTACCTTGAGGGATTCTTAAGCCTTGAATAGGTTGAACATTAGTTTTCAAAACAGATTTTGGAATGCTGATATTCAAGGTAGACTGGCAAATCCTCACAGCTTGGCTCAGCATAATCTTGGCGCTTCATTTTCACCGACTTGACCTTGTGTTGCTAATTTTATTTAATGATAACAATTACGAACAATGATCCAGCCGATGTTGTTGAAATCGAAAAGACGGTAGCGATAATTACTGAAACATATTTTAGTCACTTGGCTTGACCAAAGACGAACACGTCGCGGATGATATCGCCCCCGCCAAAAAGCGAACGGCAAGACACATATAAAAACAAAACCGAAGGATACATAGGAATTTACTTTGATTCGGACTTTACAGGCACATCAAGGAGGCTTTCTTTCGTGTTCGCCCTTTTTAGTCCTGTTCAGTGAACTGCAACTAGCACAAAAATCACTTATCTTTTAATAACAATATGCAAAAATTAATCAACCACTTAATTGTTCACGAAGTCATGATTACTTTATTGCCTTGTAATGAGAGTGACAAGAGTAATTAGTCTTTTATTCTCAGATCTATTTCTATAAACGGTAGATGTAAATAAGATGTGACGGATCATAATAATGACTGTGTTGACAGCACGCACACAGATATATATATATATATATATATATATATATATATGTCAGTTATGTGCCATGCGTGATAAACGCTTAGGCAATCTTGTATCTTTCGATACATGCCGTACGAGGCAGATATTTTTCCCGCATTAAATTGCTACTTCTTTCTGCGGTAGACCAGTTGCCATCCAAGGCTACAGAACCCGGTCTGTCGTGCTATTCATCCATAGCTGGGGAGAGAAGAAGAGGGTTCATACCTTTCCCAAGTGAATGTAATGGATTTCACTGGAATTCGAACTCGGATCTCCGATTCCTCAATCCGAACCGCTATCCATTACTCTACAGTACATATGGGATAACGGTTATCAGCGCGGGAAGTTTCAGCCGAGTCTGTTGCGTCCACGTCGCATTAACGCTCCTGGGAAAGGCATGAATTCACTTCTTATTTCCCTCCCCCTCACTTGCTATAGTAGACTAGACTCTCTAGCCTTGAGTGGCAGCCAGTTTAAGAGAAGAATTTATATATGAATTCAAAACCGTAGACAAAGCAAAGGGGAAAGCGTTCCATTATATTTATATTAAGAGAATACAAGACTAAAGAGTGTGATGTGGAGGAACGCCATTAAATATATTGTGTTGAGTCAATTTTCCGAATGACGAGGGCATTGTTGTACTAGGGTTCCGGCGCTAACTATTGAACGCATCAAATACGCTCCGGTTTTCTTGTGATAAAATCTATAGAAATTTAAAGATGTTTTATTTCTTAATTATACACAATTACATCTTAGTCCTCATGAAACAGCTATTATTATTTCTGATATTATAATATTCTTATATATGATATTATAATATGCTAATATGGAATATGACAGATCTTATGCAAGTCAGTATTTTCGCAATAAAATTAATATTAACCAACAGATATTATTAACATTTTGAGAATATACTTATATTTATAGGAGCAATATAGCATTTGAATGTCAACATTATTTATCCTTATTAAAATAACTCGTTTTGGGAGTGTCAGTTTTTATTAGGATAAGTTATTTATAAATAAACACAAAGATATAGGCCAAGAAAATATATACGACTAGCAGTAGAGCCTGGCGTTGCCCGGGGGTGTAACAGTAAGAGATAGATCAAGTATCGACCATCATAAAGACCGAAAAATAAAATTGACAAAGATTACTGTTTAAGGTTGATGAACACGCATGTTTTAATTAGTTTTATTTATTTATTTTTTTTACGAATTGGTCAAACCCAAATTCAAACAAAAACATTGTTTTCAATCGTTATGAGTCTACCGATTGAATAGAATTTTATTATAAACAATTGTCTTGTAAATGGAATTTTTAAAGCATTCTGAATGTAAAAAATAAAGAAAAAAAGTGTGCAAAACAATAAGAAACACTACCTGCAAAAAAAAAGTGAAGTTTTGTTGAAATCGTTTGTAAAATGTGGGAAATCCGATCTCATATAAAACGAACACACACACACACACACAAACAACCTGGGTTTTATAATAAGTATAACTCGATATGAGTTGTCTCCCTTTCATTCTCGTGACGTCTCTTAATTGTGTTTTCAAATTGATTTCGTGCAAAAACAATTGTATTTTTCCAATTTTTGGCGCTGTTAGAACCACCGCAAGGTAATTTTACGTAGTCCTGTGAAGTTTTGTTGAAATCGGTTGAAAAATGTAAGAAATCCGATCCAATATATAAACGTACAGACACACACACACACACACACACACACACAATCTGCGTTTTATAATAAGTAAGATTAACACTGTATCCCACATATCTGTATAAATTATTATTTTATATGTTAATATAGCTTGATATCTTATAACTTTCGCCGGACTACACTCATCGATACTCTTATCTATTCTAATGTTTCGATTTCAACATTATTTGCAGTAGTTTTATTGCTTCCCAGAGATCTTCTTTGCTTAAATATTATATTCTCATATACATATGTTTTATAAAAATGTAAATAATAAATTTTCTATTGGATTAATATCTAAAGAGTTTGGAGGTTATTTCATTAATTTGGTGTTTTCGAAAACTTTTTTGGCAAAATGAACACAAATAAGTATTGTAGAATATGATGAAATATTGCTTTGCCCGAATGTACTTTTTAGTTTTAAAAAAAGTATTGACCAAAAACTTACAATAATTCATGTGGTAAGTAGGGTGGGCCAAGACCTTTTCAGCACTCCTCATATACTAATGCAGATAAATAATCCAAATCAAGATCGCAAAGTAGCTTCCAATTTTCATCTGTGGAATCGATATTCGATTCTAGTCGAAAAATCTTTCATGTTTTTTAAAAAAAAAATTCATTTATTTATTTTTCTCCGCCTTGGTTGGGACCAGCATTCAAGACATTGATTATTAAGCATGTTGGCCAGTTATCAATAGAGAATAAATAGAATGGGCAACGTTTAAATATTGGCAAGCTCGCAGACAGAACCGATGTCAAAAGTTACTTTTTGGTTATTCAAAACCTTATCTTAATCTACACCAATATCAAACTATTCTTCTGTTTATTTATTTATAGAGAATTTATCAACAAGGAAAACTTGAGAGTATTCGGCAAATGTGCAAAAACAAACTGCCTATTAGTAAAAATACGAGGATTTATACTCAGATTTTTTCTTTGATCTGTACTCATTTAACGATTCGTTGCTAAGGCAATTTAGACGCTAAAAAAAAAAAAAAAAGAAACTGTCTTTTCAGTGAAATTCTTCCCAAAAAAATAAAAGAAAAATCACAATAATAAGAATATTAATACAACTTTATTTGATCGTAAAGAAAAAATCCGTCAATGGACGTCGTCGTTTCAGCAGTTTATAAAGTGAAATACAATAAAATAATTCATCAATATCAGGACTTGGCGAAAGAAAGAAAGAAAGAAAGAAAGAAAGAAAGAAAGAAAGAAAGAAAGAAAGAAAGAAAATGCCATGTCCCTTCAGGACGTAAGCGAACATGGCTCTCCGCAGATTCCGTCTATTTATTATCTGCGTATTGCCAGTCATTCTTTGGGTAAGTTATGTAATTGTTACACACTACCTTCTCCACGGTTTGGAATTTGGAACTTTCCTTCTCTTAAACTGGTTGACATCCAAAGATAAAGAATTATATGCTACACAACTTCCTCACTGATTTGGATCACTTACACATCTTTACATCCTGGATCTTTCTAGAGATAATAAAAAATAAAAGGAAAATGGAATCTGTCAATGAAAACTGGTGAAAATTCTGTACAGCCTTAGGTTTTATTGTAAAGGAATGTTTGTTTGTTTGTTTATTTATTTTTAATTGAGTTCACTTCAAGCAAGGCAGTAAAGCCACTAAGAAACAAGGGGTTAATGGCTGCAAATGTATTACAAGACAGAAACATTATTAAGGAGTGAGAACAAAAGAAGAGTAATCAAGTCAGTAGATAGAGATTAGCATTGCATTTAAATTTTTGAACTTGACTGGAAAGCAAAGACTGAGAAGTGCGAGAAAAGAAACTGTTAGCATAGAACTTACGTTTACATTTAACCGACTCAACTGTAAATTGGTGGGAGCTTGTCGCCAGGATCAACTGTATAATCTTATTAGAATTCTGTTTGTCCTTTCCTTAGCACGACTACTACGCCCTGCCAATACCTCATAAATATTCTGTTTTGATCGCGTGGAAAGATGGAAAATATATATCAAAGACGCTACTTGTTTTCAGTGACAAAAAGAAAGAAAGAAAGAAGGGAAGATTGATGTGTTTTAGGTCTGTTTCAGTGAAATTAAAAGTTGTCAGTTTCAAATCTTCTCATTTGTACCCCATTACTTCTTAAAAATAACAACCAGCA